TAGGCAGAATGGTTTGAGTTACAATATTTTTGGTTTTATTAAATAATTAATTAATTTCATTTCATTAAAAAAAAAGGGTAGGTTGGTAAGCCAATTCAAATAAACCAAATTCTTAATGAGTCATGTTAAAATTGACTCACATTAAAATTTCATATTTTCTTTATTAACCCAACTCGAATATGTAATGGGTCAGGTCGACTCATAAATTTCAAGTTATTTTATGATTAGGTTATTACATAATAAATTTAAGGAATTTACGTATTTAAAATGAACTCTATCCATAATTTAAAACATACAATAATTAACAACTGTCTCAGAAATATAAATTTTTAATCGTCAATATATTAATTTTCAGCAGAAAGAATATGAAAATAAAATAATTTCAAAGAAAAAAGTTCTCAGTTAAACCAAAATGATAACTAAAATTTCGTACAGAATACAATATGTTTCACAATAAAGCAGAACCATAAATAAAAGTTAATACAAAATAAGATGAATGATATAATGAAAATTTAAAATTAATTGTAAAGTGTTATAAAAACTGATTATAAATATAATGAAAGCATAAAGAACGTCTTATTCCTGTATAGAGTGTTTCATCCTACACCTCCAAGATCTCATCCTGCACCTCTAAAAATTTCACTTTTAACCTTCTGACATGTCATTGTGCACCTTCAACTTTTTCAAAACTTTATTTTTAACTTTAATAAATATTTTCTATTTTCTTTTCTTTTTTATTAAAAACAATCTTCACTGTCTTAATAATAATTTAATTTAATTTAATTTAAAATTTAAATATTATTTAAAATAATTTTGTATTTTAATAATTATTAAAATATAATTTATATTATAATAATAGTTATATTAAAAACATAAAAATAAAATAAAAAAAATAATAATAATAATAAAATTGATTTAATATATTCAAATATATTAAATTATAATAAAATATTAAAATAAATTAAATAATTATTAAATTTCAAATAAAAATGGAAATTTTAAAAAACTTATTTATATATTAAAATCTATAAAATATGTTAATACTTTTGTTTTTTATTTAAAATTTAATAAATATTAAACTTAAATAAAAATTATAATATTACTTATTATATTTTTATATTTTAATAATTAATAAAATATAATTTATATTTTTAAAATAGTTTTATTAAGAAAATTGAAAAATAATAACTAAAATAAGAATAAAAATGAAAATAAAAATAATATTTAAAATAATATTTAATATATTTAAATATATTAAATTATATTAAAATATTAAATTAAATTTAATAAGTATTAAAATTTAAAAAAGACAAAATTTTGAAAAATTTGTTAATCGGATATAGATATCCGATAAGTTATGAATCGGATATCCATAATGATTTTTAAAATTTTATTTTATATATAAATTTTAATAATTATTTAATTTAATTTAATATTTTAATATAATTTAATATATTTAAATATTTTATTTAATATAATTTTATTTGTTATTTGATAAATAATTGTTTTAAAATTTTGTTTATTATTTAAATTTTAATAATTTTTTAATTTAATTTAATATTTTAATATAATTTAATATATTTGAATATATTAAATATTTTATTTAATATAATTTTATTTTAATTATTTTATTTTAATGTTTTTAATATAACTATTATTATAATATAAATTATATTTTAATAGTTATTAAAGTATTAAATAATATTAGAATTTTAAATTTAATTATTATTAAGGTGGCGTAGAATTTTTTAACAAGAAAAAGAAAAGAAAATAAAAATATATTTATTAAAATTAAAAATAAATTTTTTTATAAAGTTAAAGGTGTAGGATAATGATGAGATGTCAGAAGGTTAAATGTGAAATTTTTGGAAGTGCAGGATAAAATCTTGGAATAGTAGGATGAAACACTCTTGGGTGTTGCTCCCTCCACCACCACACCTTTCTCCCTCCACCTCCCCAATTTTTTTTAATTCCAATTATATCCTCAAATTAAAATTTTTTATTTTTATTATTTTAATTTATTCCAAACCTAGTTCTCCTACTTTACTCCCTGCACTCAATCTTTCCATCTCTCAATTTCGTTTAACAATTTGTCTTCTGTTTTACTTTACAACTCCATTTGTCTTCTCCGTTTCACTTCTCCTCATACGATTCTTTCTTCTTCATTTTCCTTACATTATTAAAATACATTAAAAATATATTAAAAAATAATAAATCAAAACATTTAAATTAAATTATTAAAATATTTCCAAAATAAAGAATAAACTAATAAAATAAATCCTAAAATTAAAAACGTAACTCGGAGTCCGTTTAAGGAAAGAACTGATGTCAACATCCTTTTAAGAAAAACGGAACTCCTTTTTTTTACTTCAACGGATGTGACATCCGTTTTTCCTTAAACGGATGTTGACATCCGTTTTTTCCTTAAACGGATGTTGACATCCGTTCTTCTAAAGCTGTTGACATCCGTTGAAGGATGTTGACACCTTGAAGGATGTGACATCCGTTGAAGGATTTGACATCCGTTTGAAGGATGTTGACATCCCTTTGACATCCGTTGAAGGATGGTGACTCCTTGACATCCTTGAAGGGATGTTTGACATCCCTTTGACATCCGTTGAAGATGTTGACATCCCTTTGGACAATCCTTTGAAGGATTTTGACATCCCTTTGACATCCGTTGAGTGTGTTGACATCCTTTGACATCCGGTGGGATGTGTGTGACATCCCTTTGACATCCGTTGAAGATTTTTCATCAATCTCCCCCCCCCCCCCCCCCCCCCCCCCCCCCCCCCCCCCCCCCCCCCCCCCCCCCCCCCCCCCCCCCCCCCCCCCCCCCCCCCCCCCCCCCCCCCCCCCCCCCCCCCCCCCCCCCCCCCCCCCCCCCCCCCCCCCCCCCCCCCCCCCCCCCCCCCCCCCGCCCCCCCCCCCCCCCCCCCCCCCCCCCCCCCCCCCCCCCCCCCCCCCCCCCCCCCCCCCCCCCCCCCCCCCCCCCCCCCCCCCCCCCCCCCCCCCCCCCACCCCCCCCCCCCCCCCCCCCCCCCCCCCCCCCCCCCCCCCCCCCCCCCCCCCCCCCCCCCCCCCCCCCCCCCCCCCCCCCCCCCCCCCCCCCCCCCCCCCCCCCCCCCCCCCCCCCCCCCCCCCCCCCCCCCCCCCCCCCCCCCCGGCCCCCCCCCCCCCCCCCCCCCCCCCCCCCCCCCCCCCCCCCCCCCCCCCCCCACCCCCCCCCCCCCCCCCCCCCCCCACCCCCCCCCCCCCCCCCCCCCCCCCCCCCCCCTCCCCCCCCCCCCCCCCCCCCCCCCCACCCCCCCCCCCCCCCCCCCCCCCCCCCCCCCGCCCCCCCCCCCCCCCCCCCCCCCCCCCCCCCCCCCCCCCCCCCCCACCCCCCCCCCCCCCCCCCCCCCCCCCCCCCCCCCCCCCCCCCCCCCCCCCCCCCCCCCCCCCCCCCCCCCCCCCCCCCCCCCCCCCCCCCCCCCCCCCCCCACCCCCCCCCCCCCCCCCCCCCCCCCCCCCCCCCCCCCCCCCCCCCCCCCCCCCCCCCCCCCCCCCCCCCCCCCCCCCCCCCCCCCCCCCCCCCCCCCCCCGTTTTTGACATCCGTTGAAGGATTTGTTACATCCCTTTGACAATCCTTTTGAAGGATGTTGACATCCCCTTTTGACAATCCGTTGAAAGGATGTTTACAATCCCCTTTGACATCCGTTGAAGGATGTTGACATCCCTTTAGCAAGCCTTTGAAGGATGTCACCGTTTAAAAGTTACGTTTTTTATTTTAGGGTTTTATTTGAAGGTTTATTCGAAAACACACCTTAAGGAAGCAACACACGCACTGCACCACTCCACACACTGCACCACGAGAGCGACACTGCATCACGAGAGCGACACTGCACCACGAGAGAGAGACTACTTGATAATTCTTTCCACTACCACCAACCTTTACAACTTGTAGTATCTCACCGCGACAAAAGAAAGAGATGAAGAAAAATAATGTTAAAATAAAAGAAAAATATTTTACTCATGTAGGAGGAACTAAAATAGGTTATTAGTGGAATAGGTTGTGAATGGGTAAAATTAAAAAAATTAACCCTAAAAATAAAATTTTATTTAAGGGCAAAATAGTAAAGGGGAGGTGGAGGAAGAAAGGTGTGGGGGTGGAGGGAGCAACACCCAACACTCTTCCTATATATGGTCGCAGTATGAAAACCGGCCCGATTGTGGTCCAAATTAAAACATTGTATCAATGATTTGGATTGATCAGTTTATTAAAAAGTATAAGATTAACATAACTTTGAGAAATTCAATTTAAATTAATTAATAAAATATAATTATAATTAAATAATTAAATAAATTTTAAATTTTAAATTTTAAATTTAAGGTTGTGATAGATTAAAAAGTGAAAATGAGAGTGTAAAAAAGACAGAGAAGGAAAAATAAAAGAGTTTAATCTAAATTATTTTATCTTTAGTTGAAATGTCGAACTTAATTGAATTAAATAATTGTTAAATATTAAATTTTTTAATTTTTAGTAAAAATTAATTTTTTTCTTAAAATTGTGGTTCAATTTAAATTTTTAATTTTATAAATATTTGAATTTAGTCTTTTAATAAAATGTTGTTTTTTTAACAAAATTTTATTAAGTTCAGTTAACCTGATATATTTCATATGTTTATTCTTAATCAATACATTTTTGTTCTAATATTAACTGAAATAACAAGTAAAATAAATATAATAAAAATTAATTAGAAAAACTAAATCTATACACTTATACAAATTAATAATTAAATTTCACTAAAGTTTTGAAAATAAATTAATTTAAATTTAATTAAATCCACTTATCTATTCATCGCATTAAATAATAATCATAGTTTGGATTTTACTATGATTAACTAAATAATTCAGTATAATATCATTAAATGGTTAATATTTTAAAAAATAAAGATTAAATATATTTCTCTGTGATTAAAATAATATTTTTTGACGAATGAAGTCCTGGGTTGACATTTGTTTTCCATTAGATGATAAATAACCAAAGCTAACTTCCCCATTCCCAAACCTACTCCCTTCTTCTTGGCAGCCAAAACTCAACGCTGACGGTGTTTACAAAGAAACCCTTGAAATCGACAACTAAACCCTCGTAAACTTCAAATATCTGATACTACATTTCCATTTAAATTTATACTGTAACCAGAAACAAGCTTCTGTTAGCTTCTTATAAAAATGGTTTTGAAGTCAATAGTTGCATCAGCGAGCGATCTAAGTGTAGTGAGTGTTGCTGGGAACGCTCCGCTCGAATTCAAGAATCGGGTTTTTGGCGGCCGAGTCACCAGCCTCGGATTTCGTTTTAACAGAGGGAGATGGAAGGGGAATGAAAGGTTTGACTTTAAGGTTCGTGCTGCTGTGGGAGTGGGGAGTTCAAAGAGTAAGGCTTTGCAGGGAAATTCTGGATTGGATGTGGTTTCAGAGGGAGAGTTAACGGTAAAGGGGTTTGCGGGGTTGCGGAAGACCAAACTCGTTTGCACAATTGGTCCTGCTTGCAGCTCTTTGGAGGAACTTGAGAATTTGGCCTCCGGAGGCATGAATGTTGCCAGGCTCAACATGTGCCATGGCACCAGGGAGTGGCACCGTGATGTGATTAGGAAGATCAAGAAGTTGAATGAGGAGAAAGGGTTCTGTGTTTCTGTGATGATTGACACTGAAGGTAGTCAGATTCATGTAGTTGATCATGGAGCCTCATCCTCGGTTAAAGTAGAAGTATGCTATTTTTTCTTTTGTTTAACATTCACTTGTTATATGTTAAAAAAATAGTATATATTAATGGGGGTAACAAGTACCACGAGTTAGCTCTTGGGATCGAGTTAACCCAAACCCAAATTATAATATATTGCTAGAGCCCATCCCAGGGGCTGTTGTTGGCCCTATCAGACCCCTCGTTGGATTGTTATCGTATCATTCATAGATGTTCAGCCTTGCAAACTATCTAGTACTCAGTGTGAGAGAGTGTTAGAGATCTCACCTTCACTTGTGACATGGTAAAGTAACATAATATGTAGATATGGAGCAAGTTTTCCTGCACGAGCTGTCTTTTGGGTTTAAGTTAGTAGACCTAGATCCAAATTTAGAAGATTATGTTTATATTCTTTTGTGAAAGGCTTTGTTGTGATAGATTGTCCTATATGATCACACTTACTAGATTTAACTGATTTGGAGACATGCACTTTTGTGTATTGTTTTTGTTTCCATCTCAGGAAGGTTCAATTTGGCATTTTACTGCTGAGCATTTTGAGGGTTCTCGCCCATTCACAGTACAGACAAACTATACAGGTTTTTCTGAAGGTGATGTCTTGCTTAACGAATGAAGAACCAACTCTTCCTTTTCTTTCACAATGTATTTATGCATTTAAGTACTGAGCTTAGTTAATGTCTATCAGATATTGAAGTTGGTGATGAACTTGTTATTGATGGTGGAATGGCTTGCTTTGAAGTCGTTGAAAAGAAAGGAAATGATTTGCATTGTAAGTGCATTGATGCTGGTCTTTTCCTTCCTGGAGCCAAATTTAGTTTCTGGAGAGATGGAAAGCTTGTGAGGAGGAATTACAAGCTCCCCACTCTATCAACAAAGGTATGCATATTCCGGTTTTTTCTTCCCCTGCTCATTTAACGAAGATCACGGAGGATAAATTTAGCACTCTGCAATTATTTCTTTACATATATGGCGTTGATTTTCTGAAAGCATTCCTAGGCTAACAATGTCAACAGTTGTCAAAACTCATGTTTAATATTTTCTTTTGAAAATTGGTGAAATGATATATTAATTACCTCAAGAATCAGTGCTTACATTTTTCAATATATGGATAGATTGTACAGTATATTGATCCTTCCAAAGTCCCAAGTTTGCTCCTCAAAACCCATTCCGAAGATCTGGAAGAACTGGCTGGATTGATGTTTCTTCAACAACCATATATGCAATAATTTCATTAAATTCTCAGACAATACAATAAACCTTTCTGTTTTACAATGTAGAGAAACTACCTTTTTCTGAACTGAACAAATCGTATTCATACTTTACTAAAAACTAATAATGACTTTGTCTCTTCGAACCTCTTTATTTTTTTTTTTGTATTTTTCTTTGAATAATTATAATTATTAATTGAAAATATTACCCTTTTATGTTTTTTTCTCTCTTAAGTTTGAATTGTTTACATCCACAGGATTGGGCTGGCATTGACCTCGGTATAGCTGAGGGTGTTGATTTTTTTGCCTTATCCTTTGTCAATCACGCTGATTCTGTTAAGGATCTAAAGAACTACCTCTCCACGAAGTCAACCAAGTAAGTAAGCACACGTTCAAAAAGGAATAGTTATATGGTTTAGCAATATAGCGTAATCGTTAATTCCTCTAAAAGGATGTCAATATTATTTTTTAGTACAAAATGACGTACCAGTGGCTAGGAGTATACTAAGTATCGCAAGCATTCTACTGCAGTGTCACTATGTCTATTTTATTTTCCTCGTTTTCCCTTTGAAGTCCTATAAGAACGCTCGTGTCTGGCACTTGCACTACAATGCAACCCCCAATCATTTTCACCTAGTGGTGTCATATTTTCGTCTTCAAGAGGGTTATTCAGTTCTATTTCCTAGGTTAAATTGCAGCTATTGTGGTCGAAAATGGCATAGGCTGAGCTATTAAATTTAGTGTCCAGCTTCCTCTGCCATCGCTGTCTGTCTGATAATACTGTTGGTAACAGCATAGTTATTCGATAATTAACCAAATCCACCTGTTTAAGCTACAACATTATTTTCTTCCATGGATTTATTTCAAAGTTATTTTAGCTAAGTTATATATAATTGTTTCAGATCCATTAAAGTTTTGTCGAAGATAGAAAGCTTAGAATCTCTTCATAAACTTGAGGAAATAGTGCGAGCTTCTGATGGAATCATGGTGGCCCGGGGTGATCTTGGGGTCGAAATACCACTTGAACAGATTCCTACAGTCCAAGAGGATATAATTTACGTATGCAGACAACTAAACAAGCCAGTGATTGTAGCTTCTCAGCTTCTTGAGTCAATGGTCGAGTATCCAACCCCAACACGTGCCGAGGTAAAATCAATCTTTTTCCAGGATGATTATTATGAGCTTGGTTGAATAAACAATATCTTAGATTGAGAAGACATGTTACTAGGAAACTAAGACAGAATTCCATTCTATGATGATATGTTTCCAGTTCGGTATTGGATTTCTGTTCTTACCTCACAAATATTTGCTTTTATTTAATAGGTAGCAGATGTTTCTGAAGCAGTTCGACAGTACGCTGATGCTTTGATGTTGTCTGGTGAATCAGCTATTGGGTCATATGGGCGTAAAGCTTTGGCAGTCTTGGATATGACTAGCAGTAGAATGGAATCATGGAATCGGGAGGAGAACAAGCAGAATCTTCTCAACCATCACCAACTTGGAGCAGAATTGCCAGAATGCATCACTGAGCAAATATGTAATTGTGCCGTTGAAATGGGTACTTCATATTCTTCTTGTCACTTGATTCTATTATGTATTCTGCGCAGCGGTTAGAGTCTAATAATCATAATAAAAAATAAAAAATTACCCATTTGTTCTGCAGCCAACAACCTTGGTGTGGATGCCATCTTTGTGTACACGAAGCATGGACACATGGCATCACTTCTATCACGCAACCGCCCAAATCCTCCTATCTTTGCCTTCACCGACGATGAAAGTACCCGCATGGCTCTGAATCTGTTATGGGGGGTTGTACCCCTTCTGGTTGATTTATCAGATGATGCTGAATCTAACATCTCAAAGTCAGTCCAACTTATGGAATCCAAAGGATTGATCAGACAAGGAGATATTGTTCTAGTGGTCTCGGATATTGCTCACACACGATCCTCTCCTATGGCTCTCCAATCAATTCAGGTGAAGACTATTGCCTAAAACGCAAGGTTGCAAAATATTGAGGGACACGTGTCCATTTATTTTCTAGGCTTGGATAGTATTGTATTATTGGTTTCTTGTCCTCATGTAAAACAAAGTTCATAAATTCTTATCTGTAGAACTCTAGCTAGTTCTGAAACCCTTTTCAAAAGATGCTTGTGAATTACACTTCGTGAATTGCCCATTATAATTAACTAAGAAAATTGCACTATTATATCGAATTATATTTGATTGATCAACTTTGTTTGATTATGATGAACTTACAGAGTACTACATTGGCAAGCTTCTTTGCTTACACGCGAATCCAATACTTAGTTTCGTCTTTCCATGATATTCTTACGAAAGGGATCTCCCCAATTGTCTCTCCCTTGCTATTAGAGTGAAAATAGTAGTAGGTAAATGGTAGTTACACAGTTAGTTAGTGGATAATTAAAAAGATAAGATTATCGAAGTGAAGTTCAAAAGTGGCATTCCCTCTATTATGATTATAGGTAGTTTATTGAGAACGTAAATTAGAATTTAGTTTCTATTCAAATATCTTAATCAATTAAAACTTATTGTTATATAATTTTTAAGATATTCATTATTTACTATAAAATTTAGTAAAAGTTTTCCCATTTCGAAATGTCTCATCCATTCCAAAACTTATATGCTACCAAAATAAAATGAAAAAAGAGTAAGATGTTATATATATATATAGACACGATTTGAGATTAAATGAAAGAAAAAAAAACCTTAAACTATTGGTATGTACACTATTTTCAGAATTAACCGATAATAACATTAAAGTTTATTTTTTAGAAAAGATACCTTTAATTTGATGTAGTGTATTAAAATCAAAATCATTTTCAATGAAATTAAATTTAAATGAGATTCTCTGAAAAAAAAAAAATGGAACTATACTCTTATGTTTTAATATATTAGATAAATAATTCAGAGAGTGACTCTTAATTAAAGGGTCTGTCAAGTATTATCTAAATTGATAAACAAAAGTCATTCCATCATTTCAAATAATTATTTTATCTTTATTTGTATACTTTATTATCTTTATCTCTTTGAATTTAAATTTTATTTCAAAATTGATTTTTAATATTTAAAGATTTAACTGACAACAAATATTTGTATTTAGATTAAAGTATAATAATATTAGTAGGTATACATGTGTATTTGAATTCTTGTGCATTATTTTACTATTGTTGATAAAGCTGATAAATACGTTTCTAAATTTACCGAAAAAAGACAAACTGGTTAACTGCGTATCATCACAAGCCAACCAAAATAGTTTGCCATATTTTCGTGGAAGGAACAAATTGATTGGAGTTTATGAGAATAAAAAATAAAATAAATAGTGAAGGAAATCTATTCGCGAAACAAAAATCATGATTATTTTGTCCATGTTGTCAGCAGCCTCTGACCGCAAATCTACGACTGGTTACTTCTTTCTCACCACAAACGCAGACCCACCCCCCGCTCACATTAGCCATCCTTAGTTCTATCACTCTAAACTGCGCTTGCCGGTGCAAGCTCCACTCTACTTCTTACTTCCTCTAGAAGAAGCCTTTTCACGTCTCTCTGCCACCAAACCCCTTTCATTCATTTGGGTTTGTCTGTCTCTTCAAATTTTGTGCCGTAGTTATGGCTTCTCTGAGACCTACCCTCTCTCAACTTTCCCTTTCGCAATATAATTTTCCCAGAAAATCTACGTGGAACAATCACCTACCATGCTATTTCCACAAAGGGATCGCAAAGCTGCATACTTTCACCTCTTCTAAGTCTTCCGCTTTCAGGGTCTGCTGTAGTTCCCAAGAGTTCAATAGCCAAAACAATGGCAAGTTTGATTTTGTTTTTTAAATTTCATTTTCAAGTCTCGTTTAATGATTGTTCTTCGAAATTGTTATAATTCTAGTTTTAGTGAGAAATAATACAGAAGTTTACTAAAATTTCTTAGCTCTATTTGTTTGACTACTTGTATTTGTGATTTCCACTCTCTTTCCTTGGCAGATTACTAAAATAAAATTTAGATCTTTTTTCCCTTTTATGTATATTCATCTGATGTAGGATGAGTTCTTGTGCTTTCACCATGTCTGTGTGCCATTTTATCTGTTGGTTATCAAGAAAAACTGTTTGTTATTACGTTTTGGCCAGACAAGTAGATTTTGTAATGAAGGGGTTCGGATTATAATCTACAACTGGTCAAAGAGAACATTAAAGCGACTAACTTTACCTTTTTGTCTCATCATCCTGCTTCTGCTGTGTTTTCAGGTGAAGAGCCTCCGGAGTCATTATTTATGAAGGAATTGAAGAGGAGAGGTATGACCCCTACATCATTGCTTGATGATTACAAACAAAGCAACTATGAACTTGATGAAGAGGTGTTCGTGAATGAGGAAGATAGAGGTTTCCCCAAAAGAAAATCTGTCTCAACCAATGTTGAGAGGAGTCTAGAAAATCAGAGAGAACGATCTATGGCCCTGAACAGTGAAGGTCTTGAGGTTGATTCATTGTTAACATTCCTTTTCCTTAAACAATTTATAAACAAGCAACTATGTTGTTTCTATGGTTTTGTTGGCAGTAGTTTGTCTTTGTTATCCGGTGTTGAACAAAAAAATACTAATTAAAATTTTTATATTGGTGAGAAGCAAGAAAGTGGAAATGGGGAGGGAGGACAAAGAAAACACAGGAAGGATGAACATTTCAAGAAGTACTGAAATTCAGCTATGAATAATGAATGTCAACTTACAACACTGGTTTCAACCTTATTCCCAAAACATTCTATACCTTTTAATCTTCTCTTGATGAACAATTATATAAATAGTAAGTCCAATTATATAAACTTTTGGCTTTGTTACCCAAATCAACAAACATGATCTGCTGATAAATTTTGAACACAGTGCCTTTTGAGACATCACATGTTTGGAAATTAAAATTCAAATGGCTTCTGCAGTACATAGAATTAGTAAGAATTTTAAGTAATTTTCAAAATAAGATCGAATCTTATCAGTTTTGCAATAAATAACTCTCTTAAAGATGTAAGATTTCATAGCTAAATTCTAACGGCATGATTTATTATTATTATTATTATTTAAAGACTTAAGAAAATAATAGGTTGTTAAAGTTGAGTTTTTCATTTCTGAATCTTCATGTAGAAATACAGCTTCCATACTTCTTACTATGAATTTCAATGATTGCATTGGACTAATGGAATGTTTGCCAGAGCTTATTTGTGCTTATGTTATGATTCTGAGTACTGTAAGTATTTCTAGTAAGAGATGCATTAGATACAATTATTCTAAACGTACATAAGATATAATGTGTAAGATTAATATACAGATATTTAAAAAAATTATAAAACATAATAATTGATATTCTGCAAATCCAAATTAAAATGTTTTTATGCATTACTAAAACAAAATAGAATTTATTAACCATTTTCATCATGAATTATTTCTTTATCTGTTGACAAATAGAAATAGTATCAGTCTTATTTCTTTCTTGAAATCATTTGTGAAGAGAATAATTTCCATTTTTGCCCTACCAATGGACTATGCTTCTACTTGTATACTGTACATTCTTCAATGTTTCGTATGTAGCCGTATTCGAGTTTTATAGTTCTTCTAAAGTCTTATATACTTTATCGGTGAAATATTTAAGAATATGATATACTTACCAGATATGGATGTGGAAAATGAATTAAAGTATAGTGGTCCATGACTTGTGGCTTTCTCATAAGTTCTTTTTCACTTATTTTAATTAGCTTTGTAGAAAAGCTTATCAAAATAATCTGTTTTTAGCTTATTCTAGTACGTTTCACAATGAAGCTTAAAAATAAACTCTCATAGTAAAATCTTATTGAACAAGTATTTATTTAAATTGCTTACCTAAATACTCCCTAAATTTGAGTGTGAAATGGGCATTAGTAACTTAAAAAGAGCTTTCATGAGTACACTGTTCTAGCATTTATAACAGAATATGTATTAAAAAATTAACATGATGATCTCCATAATATGCAGAGTTCTTCTGTTAGACCATGTTAGGTCAGTTTAGATATTGACGTACTTTCTTTTGCATCGAATATTACTACATGAGAAGGTAGCGATTGCTGCACTGCGTAAATTATGTGGAGTCTTTTGGCCGACAGATATGAACAAACAAATCTATATATCCTATTAGAATGCATCTAAATCAGAATTAATAATGTTGTATTGAAGTGAGCTTTCTTGAATTTCCTTTTGGGGTGAAATCCCGTGAAATCACTTGTGTATTTATCCATTTCAGGGCTTAATACCTCGTGCTAAACTTCTCTTGACGATTGGAGGAACATTCTTCTTGGGATTTGGACCGTTGATCCTCATAATTGTTGCAACTTTTTCTGCTCTATACTTCGTAAGTACTTGGCCTGACAACAGATGTGATGAGTGCATTTTTTTATATATCACTTCATCAAATTGTATGTATATCAGTATCACGGCCATCTTATCTGTACAATGACAACATGATTTTTCTTTCATCTATTATCTTGTTTGTAATTGAAGCGAATAACGATTTGACGGACAAAAGAACATTGCCTAGTATATTGGCAAACTATGTCAATTTAGCACCTATAACTGTAAGCTATATTCTTAACTTCAATGTAAATAATTATAATTCATAGTAGAAACAGCCAATGATGTAACTGTCATATCTATGAATTTTGTCTGGTTAACTGAGAAAACTCCCAACCTGTGAGTACAACTGTTTTTGTACATTCAATTATTGGGAGCGGCCACTTCATTTCATAATGCTGAAGCTTTTGATGTTCGACACATCTATCTTCTAGTCTATCCTGTGGTTTTATATCTGATATTAGGCAACAAAGCTGAATACAACATGAATTCTTAGCTTGAAATGATTTATGTGTTCTTTTTGGCATTTTCTTCTTACACTTCAGGCATCGCTTTATAGTGGATAAATAGGAGCTATGCATTTGAGATGGCTTTGAAATTGATCCTTACTTTACTGTTGCAGTATTTTGGACCAACATTTGTCCATGATGCAAGCAAGATGGCCGTATCACCTCCACAATATGTGGACCCTTACGCACTCCTAGAAGATGAAAGGATATCACAGATAGCACCCCGTCTAAACTAAAGGCAAGACTACACATACCTCTTAGGAATCTAGTTGCATATATCAAATTTCTGTTTTCTTAAGCCTCTGTTGATTTAGTGCCAT